ACGGTAAAAAATCGGGGGTAATTTTGTGTGTCCACAGAAACAACAATTTTGTGAACTTGGAGTCATAAATATGATTTGCATGTCCAGTGGAGTCATAAAGACTCTTTAGGCATCCATCGTATTAGTAAATTTTCTAAAAAGTTACTAATTTTACTATTCTAGTTCATCCCTTGATCCCTTGCGTATCCACGGTAGTAAAATTGCGTAAACTGTGGACAGCGAAAATTCCTACAGAGGATATTATCGGGACTTCCGTCCGCGGGCTCTTCGCTTTACAAGAATTATTATGTTAATCTTGCTTGGCTTTTGACAACATAGCCTATGCTACAGCACATTTAATGTAGTTTATGAATATGTATGTCTTTCCCCAAATAAGCTAAAGGATTGCTGAGATTAGAGCGGATAACAATGGCAATGCAGCGACCGGCCGTTCACCGAACTTTGACTTTGTGGTAAAAGACGAATAGTAGAATGTTTTCCAAGCTTCAAAACAAGTTTCAGAGCTGACGTTTTCATATTATAGGTTTGAAACAATAAGTTTGCAGAATGGCCGGTCGCTTCACTGTCATCGTTATCCGTTTAAATCTCAGCAATCCTTTAGTTTTTCGGGAAAAGGCCTACGTATTCGTAAACTACATTAGATTTGCTTTAGGATGGGCTATATCGTCAAAGCCGAATATGATTGATAATATTTTAAAATAATTCCTGGAAAGCGAAGATACCGCGGACACCTTTTGTCCTTTGCTTCTTACGAATCGTGTTATCCCTTCCCAGCGAAACCCTCAGTACTCAAGAGGAATGTTCTAAGAGTCGTCGGCTGTCGAAACGTCCAGTCCAAAATGGTTGAAAAGGAAGTAATATGTTGAGCGAGCACCGTTCGCGCGCCATCTCGTTGTGGCATGTGGTCGACTCCCGGGCTCGCCGCCTATGTGCGGCGCGGTGGCGCAGTGGTAACGCTGCGGTGCGGTGATCGCAAGGTGCGAGGTTCGAGTCCCGGTCGGAGCAAACTTCATCTTCAATTTCTCTTCAGATAGGAACGCTAGCCGGAGCGAAAATACTATAGGATAGAATACTGACGGCAACTGCCCTCCCCCCCCCCC